CCACGTTCTCAGGCTGAAATAGAAAATGGTGGAACAGCACATAACAGAGCTGTTCATTGCTCCCTTCTCCTGGCTCCACAAAGCATACATTACACCCACCTTTCACTGACTGGTATTATACAGACCAAAATAACAGACTACAGAATTTGGAGAATTGCATCACGAGTTATCATACTTTAGGAGTTCTCACATTCCCACTTCCACAGCATTCCTGTTTCCATTTGTCTGCTGCAGCTGTAACTGGAAATAATTACTGCTGGTCTTAATGTCAAGATAATGGATTATTTGGAAATTGTTGGTACATTTTATGGCGACAGCATTGTTTTGCAATTTCAGAGCTTCTTCCTTTGAATATGTAAAAGTAATTTCAGCTTTTGCTACCCGAGGTGATAAAAAGCTAATAATAACACTGCAGCATCTACTGTAATTTAAGAGCCTGTTCCACCAAGTTGCACCTAGCTTTAATTTCTTATGAAGCTGTCAGCCAAACCCAAGCCTGTGATCGAAGGGAAATTTATCAAGCAACTGAGCTCCAAGGTGGGGAGTAACTGCAGATGCTGACCAGTTCACTTCAGACCTGTATTATCAGTGTCATTACACCCATGATGAGGCGTTCAAGACCAAGGCATTAATTTGCTATCACAGATGCTGACAGTCTGTCTTTTCAAAGCACAGTGTTTGCAGGAAAATCTAGAAAGAAATGGACAAGAAAAGAGTCTAGAAATGGTCTGACTTGGTGTATTTAACGTGGGGAAAGCAGAAATAAACAATCTCTGCTTCTTTTGTCTCCCCAAGTAGCTGGGTTGAAAGTTCTCTCTAGCAGCTCCAGGTTAAAACTGATGGAAACGTGTCCAGAATCCCCATGGTGGATTGATGAGCATGGATTCTCTGCTGCCGGTGCCCCACTCCATTAGCAACCAGGCTGCTGTAATTAACATTTATAGGACTGGTCTGGCAAATCTCTCTGGTTTGTTTTTTTCCCCCTCCCCTCACAGGGGCTGTACCCCTGTCTGGTGAGAGGATCTGCAGCCTTAGAGGCACTCAGGCTGTTGGGTAGTCACGAGTGCAGTGCCTGACAAGCAGAGGTCATCATTTACCATCACAGAAAAAGGACCGAGCTCAAATGAGATCAGGAGAAGGACAAAAATGGAAGGAAGTTTCTGTTAAGTAGCTGAACTTGTTCATCCCTTGGCAGGACAGTAGGAAAAATGAACAGATTAAAGCAGATGCTGCTGATACCCTGACTAGAGAGCAATAGCATGCAAGAACACAGTAAATAGTTATATCTTTGATAATCCCTAGCAGTAGCAAACTGAAAATTATTTGGCCTAGGAACGGGGAGCTGACAGCTTGGGTATCAATATGATTTGAACTTCTGTCTGATGACTGGGTAATAACCTAAAAATATTGTAATGGCACTGTTTTACCCCGGAATTTTTACTGCCTCCGATTCAGGTGTACTTCGGCATGCGGCTCACTGAAAGCATTTGAAGGCATAATCAGCCCTCACTGTAGGGGAGGTTTCCTGTTCCTAAATTAGATGTCAGTGCAGTTTTGGTTCTCCTGTCATCCTAAACTGGTCTCTCTGAGGAATAGTATTGATCCATAGAGGTATTTATGAGTAGCTCGGTGCCATCGGAGCAGCACGTGCGTTACTGAGCAGCAATCTGTGGTTACAGCTCAGAGGTGAAGATAATCCTGAACACTCTCAACAGCGAGGTCAAGTCATTTCATTCTGTGCTTTGTTTATACTGTCAAGATGTGAGTTTAGCAGCAGTTAACACAGATGAGGGTTCAGCTAAGGAAGTGGACTCAATCCCCTGGACTAACTGAGCTGTAATCACGGGGCCTGGAGGAACTCTGAGCCATCTTCAGTGACCCCAGCAGACCCTGTCCTGGGCAGGAGTCCCGAAAGGCTGCTCAGAAAGGCTGCTTTGGCAGGCAGCTGCCTTCACTAAGCACCCTTTTTGGCAGGATTGGAATATCCTCCCTGAGAGCTGGCTGAGGGAACAGCACAGCGGCTGCTGCAGTGGCTGCATCACCACCATGGTGCAGTGACAATAAACAGCACAGAGCAATATTCACATGCCAGGCTCCAGAGGCCATCCCATTGTCAGGCTGAGGTGAGCTGGAGCCTCCAGAGAGTTCAGCCACTCCATTTGTGGAACAGAGAGGGGGACTGATGGTGGGAGTTTCTAGCAATGAAGGAAGCTTCTAATGGGCAACCATAAAGCCTTTAAAATTCAGAAGGTAAATAAGAGAACAAACCAAAGCTGTGGGGTTTGGTGGGTTGGTTTTATGAAGTCATACTCCGGGGGCTGCATTCATGGGTGCTGAACATCTGGGGTTTGCTCTGTTGAGACTGAAGTTTCATTTCTGTGCTAGTCTTCACACTAACACTTTTTTCTTTCCTAGCATGATCAGTACTTTTTTGCCTTTTGAATGTCAGTAGTAGACTGAACATAACCATCTCTGACTCAGAGGAAAAGATTTAAGAGGGAAAAACTCATTTAACTCAGAGTCTCTCAGCCAAAATCGTGGAGTGAGTAAGCAACAGAAACTCTGAGGAAACTGGAATAAAATGGGAAGTCCTTATACTGCTGAAATTTTGCCTTAAAAACCAAATAGAGGATTGAAAAATATTTTGAACTGAATTGAAAGTTAAGCTATTTTTATTTATTTTCAAGAAAGAGGAAAACAGAGCATTATAAATAAAATGCCAATTTTGCACAATTAGATCCCAAATTAGAACTGGCCATGAATAGCATCGGAAGATCCTTTGCTGTGAATACAGAGAGAGAATTCAGAATGGAGTCCTTCCCTGGAAAGGATAAAGCCAGAATTTTCTAATGTATTATTTAACGCTTGTTATGTAGTGCATTAAGCAGTGACTGAGAGGAAAGCTTTTAAAAACCAACAGTCTCTCTGATAGCATTAAATCTTACCCTAGATTTTTGTTAAAGTCAATAGTAAGAAAATAAACGAATTAATACATTTCAGTCTGCCCGATTTATAGACGCCAATCAAGTTACAATGCTGGACATGGCCAGCTGAAAGAAGGGAATAGATTTACCTGAGTGAGGTCTTAATTTAATCAGCTGGCCCCAGAGAGCTGAAGTCAGCAGGCTGGGATGATATAAGAGGCAGCAGAGAAATAGTGCCTCTACTGCAGTTGCAAAGGAGAGTGACAGTGATGGAAAGGACTCGAGGCAGTGTCAGAACACACCTATTTCCATGATTTATTCTTAATTTACTTTAATGACAGTCTGAAGGTTGTCCATTTTTCTTTAAATGTCCTCAGAATACTGATATTTTCTCAATATTTTGAGCATGCTTTTTCTCCCCCTCCTTTCTGTGAGCTCCACTGCAAGTCAGAATCACAGAGGAGCTCTGCCTGCACTTTGCCATAAGGAATTTCAGGCACAATGTCAGAATACCCTTTTCCCAAAGTATGCCTTGCCAGCTGCTGTCCCTTCACTGCAGTCCCTCTTGAATCAGGTGTAGGAATCACACATTCCTCTGGGATTAATGTTGATATTATAGTAAAATGGAGGAATTCATTGCTTTTCTTTTACAGTTTATTCTGGCAAAAGAACAATGTGTGCTTTCCCAATACAATAGCTCATTTTTAGTATCAAGTGAATTTATTGATGGTTGTTCAGAACTACTGACATGCAGACAATGATCTCAGATTGCATTTACATTTCTGGAATACTTTCCATCTTTCCAGTTTCTGCCAGGAACTTGCTTCTGTGATTCAGAGTTTTCATTTTAAGATTGGACTGCTGTTTCATCTGCATTACAAATCCATGCCTTTTGCTTTCTTCTGTATGTGCTCTGCATTCATTAGTATCACAAATCCTTTAAACTTGGACCTGAACATTTATTGTTAATTATAAATTCTTCCAGGTAGGCATTTCTTCTTTCTGAGCACTCAGGTATGCTTTTACAGATTGATCATCATCCCTTCAGCAGATGAAATAGTCTTTTTGTTTGTTTGTTTGTTTTTTCTCCACAATGCCAATGAGAGGGTTTAAGGGCAATATGGTCTCTGTAGTATTTGCAAATAGCTTGGAAACGTCTTCATAACCAAAGATTTATTATTTTCTCCCTATAAAAAAAAAAAAAAATCAATGTTTTTGCAATAAAGGGCTACTCCTACTTTCTTCTGAATCCAATTCTTTATATGAAAATACATGGCATTGCCTCAAAATGCATCTGGAGGGAGAAGCCTTCCAGTGCTTAAAGGAGACTTACAAAAAGGGGAGTGACCCTTTACACAGGCAGGCAGTGAAAAGGATGAGGAGTAGTGATTTTAAATGAAAAGAGGAGAGATTTAGGTTAGATACTAGGAAGAAGTTCTGTACTCAGAGGTTGGTGAGGCCCTGGCACAGGGTGCCCAGAGAAGCTGTGGATGCCCCATCCCTGGAAGTGTCCCAGGCCAGGTTGGATGGGCCTCGGAGGAACCTGGGGTAGTGCAAGGTGTCCCTGCCCATGGCAGGGGGGTGAACAAGGTGATCTTTACAGTCCCTTCCAGCCCAAACCCTTCTGGGATTCTGTTAAGTCAATATCCAATCTCCTGCAGCAGCCCCCAGCCTGGAGGGTGTCCCCCTGTGACGTGTTCCAGAAGCACTCAATCCGAGCTCCAGGCTGTAAAGCCTGAGCTGGTTCCCAGCCCAGGTGATACTGAAGGTACTTTCTGTGAGAGCAGATCAGGTTCTGAGCCAGCCACTGCAATGCAGAATACCTGTTACTCTGCTCAGGCTGTGTCTGTGAGAAGCCACCAGACAGGCAGAGAAGACTTGTTGAGCAAAACAGCGAGTGCTGAGATCAGAGCAGCCACACTGAGCCCAACTAAAACATGAGTGCAAGTGCCCCATCGTTCCCCATCCATGTTTCAGTTATTCAGAGTGTACACCATGTTCCAGCAATATCGAAATATGTTCAAGCACTATTTAAAAGATGTGTGATTAATCTCATGTTTACTTTCATGTTTTCAGATATACTCAAAGACAAAAAAACCCATCCGGAAAACAGAAATGAACCAAAACCAACCATGAAGAAGATTGACACCACAACCACAAGCACTGTCAAGTCATCCTCCAAACACAGTGTAACTGGCAATGGGAGCAGCCCAGCCCCGAGTCCCTCCCTTGCTGTTCTGGCAGCACTAGCAGTTCTGTGGCACTGTCCCCTGTAGCTCATTGCCCTGCAGATGCTGTGCTAGTGCTCCTCTTCACTGTCATTGACACCTGCAGCCTTACCCGACTGGAAACAAATGGAAATGGCTCTCTAGTTGATGTGATAGGATAAATAAAAGTGAAATGTTGGAGTTGGCAGATACTAATTGTCATCACTTTCAATGTCTGAAGATAGCTTTTGGCAAAGCCCACCCAAGGTACAGCAAGGATGATCACAAGGGTCTGCATAGCTCAAGTTATGGGGTAGAAATAACTGAAAACACAGAAATTGTGTATGTGTGTGTTACTGTTTCTATCAATTTCGTTTGCTAGAATCTGACTGGCTGTTCTTTATTTGTTTAATTTTTCTGGTAAGTTATATGAATGGTCAGTCTTCAAATTCAAGGCAATCCACACTTTGTTTTTTTAAGTGAACAGCTAACAAGCTGTGCTACAGTTCACAGAATGATAGAATGTTATGGGGTTGGGATGGACCTTAAAGACTATCGAGTCCCAGCCCCACTGCCATGGGCAGGGACACCTCCCACCAGCCCAGGTACCAGGTTGCTCCCATGTAGGGTGAAGTGCTCTCTACCAGCTTGATGAAATTCCTGAGAGGTCAAGAAGATCAAAGCATGTTTGAAACTTCTTTTCACTCTTATTGTTTAGATTGTAGGAAGCAACATAAAAACATATGGTGTGTCTAATATATCAGTATAGTTGCCTTAACTGTGGAAAAAAATAGAACCACTTTGTTTACTGAGAGACATAGATAGTGAATTTCCCTGCCCCACAAAATGTCATTACCAGATGCTTAAGCATATGCTCGAGGATTATTGGATGAATGTCCAGCAAAGGGAAACATAAATAAACATAATAATGTTTTATCCACTTGAATGCAGCTCTGTACAGGAAAAAAAAAAAAAAAAAAAAAAAAAAAAAAAAAAAAAAAAAAAAAAAAAAAAAAAAAAAAAATAAAAAAAAAAAAAGAAAAAAAAAAAGATAATTCAGTTCAAAATTACCTATGAGATGTTACATAGAAACCAACTTAAGTTTTCCATAAAGGTCCCAGAGATATAAATTATTGGGAACTCCCATTAGACACTTAATTAGATTTTGTGCATTATGGATCTCTGAAATCAACTGTTTCATAAACTGTGTATTATTTAATTACATTTAATGTTTAAAATTTTGTATCACATTAGATGTAAATGTAAAACATTCTGAAATCTAGAACGTTCTCTGTTATGCTTCATCTTGATTGCTACCCTAGAAAATGTCAAATGTGCATTATATTACAAGGCTATTTTTTTTAAGTCAATGATACATTGATGCATTTTAACTTTTTGAATGAAAAAGTACTATAATAACTTCTAATGGGTTAAGAGTTAATGTGTGTTTTCCAACAACTGTTTACAGTGCCATTGAATATATGTATACAAACACAACTGTATGAATACAGTGATTAATATGTTAAATATATGAAACATTAGAATTGTTATATTTACTACATTTCGTAACTATTACAACTGTTTAATGGCCATTTTCATGTTGTAGACTATTCTTATGTACAGTTTTGTAAGATTTAATGTAAAACACTTGCCTTTGGTTTTTGTAAAACATCTCTTTGATACTTGGCATTACCCAGTCACTGGGATTACTGAAAAGAAGAGCCCTGTGTCTCACTAACCAGCTTTGGGCATTTTGTTGGCAACTTTGACTATAGAAGCTTGACTCAAAGAAGGTGCCATGGGCCAGGATTACTGCTGGGTGTCACCACACAGGAGGTGACAATAGTACAGAACAAGCAGACAATAAAGTGAACAAAGGCTCACTACACTTGCATGTTTCCAGATAGCATCAGTGAACATGTCAAATTATGTTTGCAAAGGTGGGGCTTGAGTTTCATTTCCAGTTTTGGTTCCTAGATCATATTTATGACATAAAGGTATGATCAGAGCCGTGGATGCACCCAGCTGCAAAGGCAGCATCTCTGAAGTGGCAGCAGCTAAATTTTCTAAAAGATAATTCAATTGTAATATTGAAACAAGAAAATAAAATGGAGAAGATACTTACATTAACATCAAGTATTTTATGTTTTAACTTTTTCACAGCAATAAGGATATTAATATCCCTAAAGAGTGCTTCCCAGTCCAATCAGTGAAAATCAGTTTTCCCACAAGTATTTAAATGGCTCTCCTGTGTTTGCCAGGGTTTGTGAGCTGCACCAATCTATGGAAGCATAATTTAAAATGCTGCTTCTTGCATTCATTTTTGGTGCCATTTGGAAAAGTGCTGTTTTGCCTGCAGAGGTGTGCAGTTCCCATCATTTGTGCACTGGAAGGACTCTGTAATGCCTGGCACTCTCAGAGAATCCTGCACTGTGATGGCTGAGTCAGACAGGAGCTCTGTGCACAAACAGAAGTGTACCCTGGGTGCTCACACTCACCACCTGCCCCACCAAGCACTCTGGCTCACTGGAGCAATTCCTGTCTGATGCTTGCAGCCTGACTGCTGATTTAGTGTTCTCATGCTTACAGTGCTCAGTCATCATTCAGGAAATGTCCCTCAGGATTCCTACGGATAAGGTGTCAGGGCTGGGCTCCAATCCTGCCAGATGTCAGCTGTGCAGTTTGGAGTTTTCAGATTTTTCTCACCTGCAGAGAGGGAACTTGATCAGCCAGAGCCAGGTGTGTTTCTGAGGTCTGTTCTGGAAAAGATTTTAGTGGCGATCTCACCAGCCGTGTGTTCAGCTGCAGCAGAGGAAGCTGCAGAAATCCCACAAGAGGCAAGTATGCAATAATTCACCCAGGGAGTTAATTGTTGTGGCTAAATGGCATAATTTTGCTGAACAGAAACCTCTGAAAAATCAAGGGTTTGGAATGGGGATTGGTTGGCGAATATTTGTATTCATCTCTCAAGCTAAACAAGACAATCCTTTCAAAGTTTCTGTAACAAAACACAAGTTCAAATCGTGGGGTGAGGTAGAATAAACTCATTTCATTGGACTCAACCAATATTTTAATAGACACAACTTGCTGCAGAATGAGGGAAGAGGGCTCTACATCAATTAATACATTTCATGCAAAAACACTTCTACACTGTAAGAAGAGTACTGGTCAAACCAGCATGAAATATGTTCACTATGAACATCAAAAATTGTGCCTTTTTAAAGGGCAATGCAGTTTATTTTTAGTGGTGGTTTATGATATTTTTTTCCCTCAGGATCAATTGCATTTACATAATGTTTTCCATCAAACAAACTATCTATGCCAGCAAGGTAAAACCAATTGGCTGTGTCAGATAAAGCAAGCATTCATTTTCAAATTAATAATACACCTGCTTTACGAAGTTGTAGTTTGTTTCCCAGAACATTGTAATTACAAAGGTCTAAATTCAAAATACTTTTGAACTTGTCTATGTAATCTCAGTGTAAAATAAGGTATCAGTCTAAGAACATTGCTGTAGCCATGCCTGACAGTTACGAATTGTATTTAGCCAATGCTTTCTGATTGTTTATTGTTTTGCTATGATTTTCTTTTAATATTTTGCTGTGCCCACATTTGTAAATGCCAGCATTGGGAAGTCACTGCTGTCACACATGTATGAGTAAAATCAATGTACAATTTTCTGTTGGGAGTGTTGCAGGCTTTTTACCAAATCAGAAAGCTGCCGTGGGCACAGTGTCAGTTCTTAGTGTTCCAGTGCTCTTCAGGCTCTGTGTTCCTGTAAGAGGCTCAGGTCTGCGTGTCCCCAGTCCCCTTCCTGGCTGTGAAAGTGCCAGGGCAGGATGAGCAGGGGTGGCAGAGGCGTGGGTGGCTGCAGGGTGCCAGGGCACGGCAGCCTCCAGCTGGCTGCTCTGAGCCCCGAGCCCAGTGTTCTCAGCTAATTTCAAGCAGCTTTTACACCTCTCCAAATCATCTCTTGGAGACTGGCCAGGCAAAGAGCAGCAGAGAATCAAGAGACTGCACTTTCAGACAACTTCACAGCCACCTGCTAGGAATTGGACTTTTTTTTGCAGTTTAGATGCTTTACACAGTCTGGCCTCTCGCACTTTTTTCTGGCTTGCACATTGCCAGTGCTGTGCCCTCTCTTCTAGTGCAGCTTCGTTATTGCATAAGGAACTGTGATTCTGATCTCTCAGTAATGAACCTTTTGAGGTAAAAATGTCTGTCAGAGCTTGATAAGGGCACACAAATAGTACTGTCCAGCTGTGTTGACTTCAGAGGCTCTGTGTGTGGGTATCTGGCTGTGAGATTCACATCTCTCTGATCTCTTAAATCAGATCTGTGTTTAAAATTGCCCTGTTGCCTTTTGATACCAAGACTGCAACATACAGAGAAAATTAAAATTTGACTCTCCTATCCTGTATGAGTTTTCTTCATGTTATCCTAATGGACGTTGTGTACAGACCTGATTTTAATATTAGTCAAGCCTTTTTGCCCATATTTACTGAGATTTTCAGTATTGCACATTATTAGGTTTAAGCAAGGTCGACTCAAGTGAAAGGAGCTGAAACACACATAGAAGAGAGATACTGAGTAGGACAAAAAATCCAGAAAGTTCCTACATTCCTGAATGGAACTCTTCACATTAAACAGAATTTACAGTCAAAATTTCCTAGCTAGCATGCTGTCAGAAGGGTTCCAGCTTTTTATGGAAAATTGATAAGCATCTACCCATATTAAAGGGGAAATCAGTTGATATACATGCTTTCCTCATGTCTCCTCACATGGTCAAGTTTAGCTCTGTAGGAGACATTCCCTATCTTGCACATTGTAAGTGCTTTGTGTTACAACTGGCCATAAGTACAAAGCATTTATTTTCATTTATAGCATTTCGCTGCTCTCCGTGCTTCCTGTAATGACATATGGCATATTTGTCACTGAAAAGTGAAACAACTTCTAGTCAATGTCATTACTGCTCTGACATGTTTCAGTCAAAAAAAGCACAAGTTTATCTTCCTCCCATTGCCTCAGAAGTCTAGAATTATTCTCAATACTGAATTCTCTTCTGTGTTCCATTGTCACTCTCTAAATAACTACATTTGAATTGTATTAAATATTAAGCCACCATAAAAATAAATACTGGGGGAGAGACTGTAATAAATAGAGAATAAATTCAGAAAAAGATCCTGCATTTGACATGGAGAATACCCTTAGGAGGGAAATCACCCATGGTCTAGAACAATTTTTTGAGCCCCTCTCTCTTCTCCAGGTACATCACCATTTCACCTTGACACAGCACAGCAGGAAGCTGCATGCAGAAAGCTGGTACTGAATTCAGCAAAGTGAATTAAAACTACTATGCACAGCAATATTTCCAATATCTTGCTTGCAGTGGATGTCCTTTTGCCAGTTGCAAGGAATGCATTCCAACTGCACATGCAGCTGCTTCAGTCCTTACTCAGGAAGCAGCTGCAGCTGCTGTAGTTTGAGAAGAGACTGCTGGACAGATCATAATGCAATGTTTTTGTATCACTCCATGTCACTGTCCTTAAAATAGCCTGGTTTAGGCATTCTGGTCATTACCAGCACTACAAGGATTTATGCCCATGGAAATCCTAATACCTTTCCATGAGAAGAGCACATCAAAGAGAGGCCACTGGTGCTCTCACAATGTGCTCCAAGTGCTTCATTAAATTCCCACTAACAACCACGTTGGTCTCTTTTTTTCCATGTAGAAAATGCAAAATTATGCTGTTTGCACTTAATCATTTCAATTAATCTTTAGTAAATTACCCAGTACTTCGTAATTATAATATTTGCAGTTAATTTAGTGCCATCTTAAAAATAATTAGTTGTATAATATTAGCGATTAATATTTATTCGGGTTTTTTTCTCTTGCAGAAGGATATATAAATTGTCCTCAGTGGCCTTTCTGTACACCTAATTAGCACCTGT